TAACCCATTGCGCCAATGAGTGCTCCTTTTTCCATACTAAGAGCACATGTTATTCTATAGCCAAGCCTAAACTCCTTGGTGACACTGCCTGTAGGAAGCCAACTCTGAGCACTTTAACAATGAGCAAGACAATTCGGAGTGACATTTTCCGGGACCAACGATGTCACTAGCCCACAAGCCCTGGACTCTAAAGAGTGTCACAGTTCAGCATATGCTTCCTACACTCAAGATTTTGAGTTCAAGTCCAAACTTCTCTAATTAGGAAGATCTGGTAGCAGACGACAGGTGAAGAAGACCTCTGCCCTACGCATTGGAGTTATACTGCCAACCTGAACATGAATACTAGAACTAAATGATAGGATAAGGATCATGCAAAGCACCTTTGTATGTTGCCCACCCATGGCTTAGGTTTCAAATGTCTGAAACAGATTTAATTTAGGGAGCTTTGAACCATCTACCTCTGGCGGCACATGTTGGCAGCCTGTTTTATTCTGACAGAAAAGCCAAGGCACTACAGAGCTCTATCATAGAGCTACCATCAACTCTGCTGGACTGAAGGCCACGTTGTCCAAATGCCCAAAGATCACCGTCTCCCAAAGCAGTTACTCTACTCCGAACTCAAGAACGGAAAACGGAATGTTGGTGGGAAGGAAAAGAGATTGAAAGCTAGGCTCAACGTCAACCTTAAAAATTGTGGCATAGGCTTCGAGAACTGGGAAATCCTGGCCCTTTAGCGTTCCAACTGGAGGTCAGCTGTGACCAGCAGTGCTGTGGAATTCAAAGAGGCAGAAATGGAGGGCAAAAGGGAGAAATGTGCTGAGAGGAAAGTGTGTCAAGCCAACCCTGATCGGGACCTTCTTTTGTCTGGAAACCAATGTCCTCACTACGGGAGAACATGTGGATTGAGAATAGAGCTCCACAGCCACCTACGGACCCACCGCCAAGACACTACACTTGGAGGACCATCATCCTTGGACTACGAGGGAACAGCTAAGTAAAGTACTACCATAGAGTAAATGCTTTCCTTTAAAAAATCATTTTAATCTAGGGGTCTTTAAGGCCACTAGACTGGTTAGACAGGAGAGTCATGACTTAGAACAACAAAGGATTCTCCCCGGGCAGTAAGCAGCCAGGCTTTGAAGCTGCAAGGCTATTCAATGTTTATCAAGATGGCCAATAGCAACATGCACACTTCCATCCAACACACAAGAGTTCTTTCTCCCACCCTGGACATCATTCCACAGATATATAAAAACCGCACTTGCCTTGTTTCCAACAAATCTCACAAACTCTGTGGAGGCCTGCCAGAGATGCGGGTGAAACGTCAGGAGAAAATGCTTCCGGAACTTGGCCATACAGCATGGAAAACTCACAGCAACCCAGTGATTCCGGCCAGGAACTCCTTCGACAACATATTAGAGCAAGTGCCTTTCCCCCCACATTAAAATAGCTTCCTCTTGTATGTACTCGACTGCTGGGCATGTTTAGCCTGAAGAAGAGAAGACTGAGAGGAGACATGATGAGGGCCATGGATCAAGATGTGAGAGGAAGCCACAGGGAGGAGGGAGCAAGCTTGTTTTTTGCTGCCCTGGAAACTAGGACGCAAGGGAACAATGGCTTCAAACTACAAGAGAGGAGATTCCACCTGAACATGAGGAAGAACTTCCTGACTGTGAGAGCCGTTCAGCAGTGGAACTCTCTGCCCCGGAGTGTGGTGGAGGCTCCTTCTTTGGAAGCTTTGAAACAGGGGCTGGGTGGCCATCTGTCAGGGGTGATTTGAATGCAATATTCCTGCTTCTTGGCAGAATGGGGTTGGACTGGATGATGGCCCAGGAGGTCTCTTCCAACTCTTTGATTCTATGATTCTATGCGCAACAGAGGCTCAGGTGCATTTGAAGCATTTCGGGTCAAGCCACCTCTCACTCTTGGTTTTTAATCCTTGGAGACAGACGAGGCTATCTAAACCTCAGGTTTCATCTTACCAAGAGCTGGGCAGTCACACAGATCAGGTTGCCAGCTTCTTGTTTATCTTTTTTGGACTCGCTTTTAGAAAACAGCATGAGACCCATTTGGCTGGCATTGTCCTTTCGAGCATGGGGCGAAGTAGGGAGAAAATATTCCCCCCCCCCCTTTTATGGGTGCATTGTCGATGTCTCCGATCCCTTTGAAAGACGCATGAGCAAGGCTAGTGAAAATTTGTCAATCTTGTTGTGGCTCCGTGTTTTATATCCAAGACTAACTGCACTGATCCAAAGGAAACCATTGCATCAGGAAGGCCGCCAACTCGTTGTAAACAATGGCTCACTTCTGGGTTGTTGGAGTCAAGTGATACTTCGGCACAGGAGTGCATTAAACTTTGGATGTTCCAAAGGAAGCAAAGCAGCCTGTCCCACACCCAAGCCACATGAGGACAGGATTCAGGTGCAGAAACAATAATAATAGGTTCTTGTGGGTTTTTTTCGGGCTATATGGCCATTTTCTAGAGGCATTTTCTCCTGACGTTTCGCCTGCATCTATGGCAAGCATCCTCAGAGGTAGTGAGGTCCAGTAAATGAAAATGCATCCTGTATATCAGATATTTATGTTACGATTCACAACAGTAGCAAAATGACAGTTGTGAAGTAGCAATGAGAATAATGTGATGGTTGGGGGTCACCACAACATGAGGAACTGTATTAAGGGGTCGCGGCATTAGGAAGGCTGGGAACCACTGTTCTATTACTTGCAATAGTTTTTCATCGTGTGGTCTTATTGTTAATGTTGCATTATTGTATTGTCCATGCTTTATTTTAATTGCTTGTATTGTTGTTATTATTGCTTGTATTGCTTGTATTGTTGTATTTGGGTTCGGCCTCATGTAAGCCACACCGAGTCCCTTGGGGAGATGTATTGCCATAGATGCAGGCGAAACGCTCTAACATGGACCTATAGCCCGCAAAAACCCACAGAAAAACCTATTGGATTCTGGGAGTTGAATATAATAATAATAATAATAACAACAAGACTTTATTTGTACCCCGCTACCATCTCCCCAAGGGACTCGGTGTGGCTCACATGAGGCCCAGCCCAAATACAACAATATACGCAATAAAACAACAATACAAGTAATTAAAATAAAAAAAACATAGACAATAAAATATACAACATTATCAATAAGACAGCACACAAATGAAAGTATCCCTCTAAGTTGGTGGTTCTCAACCTTCCTAATGCCATGACCCCTCGATACAGTTCATGTTGTGGTGACCCCCAACCATAACATTATTTTCATTGCTACTTCATAACTGTCATTTTGCTACTGTTATGAATCGTAATGTAAATATCTGATATGCAGGATGTATTTTCATTCACTGGACCAAATTTGGCACAAATACCCGATATGCCCAAATCTGAATACTGATGGGATGGGAGGAGATTGATTTTGTCATTTGGAAATTCTATAAATAAAGTATAAATACAGTTTTATTATTATTATTATTATTATTATTATTATTATAGTTGTAGTTGCTGAGATTTATGGTTCACCTACAATCAAAGAGCATTCTGAACTCACCTACATCTGAGTTTCACTGTGGACTCAGACTATGATGGATCTGGACTAAACTTGGCACGAATATTCAGTATGCCCAAATGTGAACACTTGATGGAGTTTGGGGAAAATAGACCATGACATTTGGGACATTTGGGAGTTGTAGTTGCTGGGATTCATAGTACACCTACAACCAAAGAGGATTCTAAACTCCGCCAGTGATGGAATTGAACCAAATGTGGCACACAGAACTCTCATGACCAAAAAAAAAATACTGGAAGGGTTTGGTGCCTTGAGTTTTGGAGTTGTAGTTCACCGACATCCAGAGAGCACTGTGGACCTAAACAATGATGGATCTGGACCAAACTTGGCATGAATACTCAATATGCCCAAATGTGAACACTTGACGGAGTTTGAGGAAAATAGACCGTGACATTTGGGAGTTGTAGTTGCTGGGATTTATAGTGCACCTACAATCAAAGAGCATTCTGAACCCCACCAATGATAGAATTGGGCCAAACTTTCCACACAGAACTCCCATGACCAACAGAAAATACTGGAAGGGTTTGGTGGGTATTGACCTTGAGTATGGGAGTTGTAGTTCACCTACATCCAGAGAGCACTGTGAACAACAGAAAATACTGATGGTCTTTGGCATCCCCTCTGACACCTCCTCGTGACCCCCCCCCCCAAAAAGTCCCAATCTCCAGATTGTGAAACACTGTAATAGAAGATGCATCTCATTTAACAACTCCATAAAAGAAGCAACCGCATATTGGAAGCTGAGCTTAGCCAAATCCACTCTCCTTCCACCCAACTGTTGAAAGACCAACAATTATCTTTCTCGAGGCCTCTTTCTCCCTGGATTTAAAGTTCCTTGACACGCTTTACGAACGTGACAGCACTGTTGCTTCATGCTAGAACTCCCCAGCAAATATCTGCAATCTCCTGGAGAAACTTCAGATACCCTGAAGTGGAGATTTTGGAAATCTATGGAACCGTGCAAGCTCCTTCTCGAAAGTGCTGGGCACAAAGCAGAGCCCTCACTTAGGATGGCGTTCAGCACATTCTGCATGTGGGAGAAAACAATACACATCCTCCCAGTCTAAACAGATTTACTTCTAGAGGCTTGACAGGGATAGTAGTCAGGCTTGGCCATGATGCAACCCTCTTTCGTTCGCACAAACCACAACAGCTTTGGAGTTGCCACTGTTTTTCCAAGGCCCCGAATGCAACCAGCCCACAACATCCCCACCTCAAAGTTTGCCAGGGATTTCAGAAAAGCAACCCAGTTGGCATGGTGTAGAAAGACAAGCAGACACGAGAGCAACCTCCCTCTTCCGACGCATAGCCGTACCCCAAAGACCCAGGGCCAGATTTGGACACGGCATTGATCTCCCCAATGAAACTTTTCCCCGGCTGCCCAGGCGATGCAGAGACAGATGGGAGGAGAAAACCCAGATGGTGGTACCTTTCGCTGGGAGGAAATGCAACAGAACCTGCCCAAGGCAGCAGCCCAGGGAAGATGGGCTATAGGGATGCTCAGCGGATGGATGCTGGGGACTCGCTCTCCTTCGTCGTCTGTCCGTCTGTCGTGGGGTGTCAGCCTGCCTGGCTTTCCCTCCCTGCATCCAGATCTTCCAGCAGCCGAGACCAACTGGGCTGGAAATGCATTTAGGAATTATTTGCTGGCACTCACGCTCCACCTCCAGGGCCCTGCGATTGGTGGGCTGCGCTTGTGATGCTCAGCCGGTCCTGGCTCCAACGCAGCCTTCCTCTTGCTCTTTAGCTGCTGCTGTTATGCTCAAGCGCATGAAGGGAGAGGGGGAGAATGATGCACACTCCGGGCAGGCTTCGGGTGGCAAGATGTGCCAACTGGTGTCAAGGAGGACAGAGGGAGGTCTCCAACTGAGGCTGGCATGGCAGCAGGCGCAAAGCAGGAGAACCCATCTCTATTCTCCATCTATAGAAATAAAAATGTAACGTTCGTTTGTGGGATTAGCATCACTCAAAAACCACCGGATTGGACACAAGACACCTCTCAGGCCAATGAGTGACCATCACTCATAAAAACACTGAAAAACACAGCAGAAGGGACTTAAAAGGCCAAAAAACAAAAATTACAACACATGTGCAAAACCACATATACACACAAACACAAACATATATACACATATCTATATAAATAAAAATGTAATGTTCATTTGTGGGATTAACATAACTCAAAAACCACTGGACGAATTGACACCAAATTTGGACACAAGACCCCTCACAACCCAATGTATGTCCTTCACTCATAAAAACACTGGAAAAACACAATAGAAGGGACTTAAAAAGCAAAAAAAATTACATTACAATGCATCCACAAAACCACACACACATATGCAAACACACATATACACACACACAAAAAAAACACATATACACAGACTGGGCCACAGCAATGCATGGCAGGGGATGGCTAGTCTACATAAATAAAAACGTAACGTTCGTTTGTGGGATTAACACAACTCAAAAACCACTGGACGAATTGACACCAAATTTGGACACAAGACACCTCTCAGGCCAATGAGTGACCATCACTCAAAAAAACCACTGAAAAACACAGCAGAAGGGACTTAAAAGGCCAAAAAACAAAAATTACATTACAACACATGCGCAAAACCATATATACACACAAACACAAACATATATACACATATCTATATAAATAAAAATGTTCATTTATGGGATTAACATAACTCAAAAACCACTGGATTGGACACAAGACACCTCTCAGGCCAATGAGTGACCATCGCTCATATAAACACTGAAAAACACAGAAGAAGAGACTTAAAAAGGAAAAAAATACATTACAATGCATCCACAAAACCACACAAACAAACACACACATATGCAAACAAATTATATACACATATACACAAATACACACACACACACACAAAATACATATACACAGACTGGGCCACAGCAATGCATGGCAGGGGATGGCTAGTCTATATAAATAAAAATGTAATGTTCGTTTGTGGGATTAACACAACTCAAAAATCACTGGACGAATTGACACCAAATTTGGACACAAGACACCGCTCAGGCCAATGAGTGACCATCACTCATAAAAACACTGGAAAAACACAATAGAAGGGACTTAAAAGGCCAAGAAACAAAAATTACATTACAACACATGCGCAAAACCATATATACACACAAACACAAACATATATACACATATATAAATAAAAATGTAATGTTCATTTGTGGGATGAACATAACTCAAAAACCACTGGACGAATTGACACCAAATTCGGACACAAGACACCTCTCAGGCCAATGAGTGACCATCGCTCATAAAAACACTGAAAAACACAGCGGAAGGGACTTAAAAAGCAAAAAAATACATTACAATGCATCCACAAAACCACACACACACATATGCAAACACACATATATACACATATACACCAATATATACACACACACAAAAATACATATACACAGACTGGGCCACAGCAATGCATGGCAGGGGACGGCTAGTCTATATAAATAAAAATGTAATGTTCGTTTGTGGGATGAACAGAACTCAAAAACCACTGGACGAATTCACACCAAATTTGGACACAAGACACTTATCAGGCCAATGAGCGACTATCACTCATAAAAACACTGAAAAACACAGCGGAAGGGACTTAAAAGGCCAAAAAACAAAAAATTACATTACAACACATGCACAAAACCATATATACACACAAACACAAGCATATATACACATATCTATATAAATAAAAATGTAAATTTGGACACAAAACACCTCTCAGGCCAATGAGCTCATAAAAACACTGGAAAACACAGCAGAAGGGACTTAAAAAGCAAAAAAATACATTACAATGCATCCACAAAACCACACACACACATATGCAAACACACATATATACACATATACACCAATATATACACACACACAAAAATACATATACACCGACTGGGCCACAGCAATGCATGCAGGGGATGGCTAGTCTCTATAAATAAAAATGTAATGTTCGTTTGTGGGATTAACAGAACTCAAAAACCACTGGACGAATTCACACCAAATTTGGACGCAAGATGCCTCTCAGGCCAACAAGTGACCATCACTCATAAAAACACTGAAAAACACAGCGGAAGGGACTTAAAAGCCAAAAACAAATACATTACAATGCATGTGCAAGCCTCATATATATACGCAAACAGAATGGGGGACGATGATGCCTGGCTCGAGAGCAGTACGTGTGAAAAAGATCTTCGTGGACAACAAGTTCAACATGAGCCAGGAATGTGATGTGGTGGCAAAAAAAGGCAATGGGATGTTGGCCTACATCAATAGGAGCCTAGTGTCTAGATCTAGGGAAGTCATGCTCCCCACGCTGTATTCCGCTTTGGTTAGACCACTTTACCTGGAATATTGTGTCCAATTCTGGGCACCACAATTCAAGAGAGATATTGACAAGCTGGAATGTGTCCAGAGGAGGGCGACTAAAATGATCAAGGGTCTGGAGAACAAGCCCTATGAGGAGCGGCTTAAGGAGCTGGGCATGTTTAGCCTGAAGAAGAGAAGGCTGAGAGGAGATATGATAGCCATGTATAAATATGTGAGAGGAAGCCACAGGGAGGAGGAGGGAGCAAGCTTGTTTTCTGCTTCCATGGAGATTAGGACGCGGAACAATGACTTCAAACTACAAGAGAGGAGATTCCATCTGAACATGAGGAAGAACTTCCTGACTGTGAGAGCCGTTCAGCAGTGGAACTCTCTGCCCCGGAGTGTGGTGGAGGCTCCTTCTTTGGAAGCTTTTAAACAGAGGCTGGATGGCCATCTGTCAGGGGTGATTTGAATGCAATCTTCCTGCTTCTTGGCAGAATGGGGTTGGACTGGATGGCCCAGGAGGTCTCTTCCAACTCTTTGATTCTAGGATTCTATGAAGCACACATATACACACACAAAGCATATATACAAAGACTGGGCCACAGCAACACATGGCAGGGGACAGCTAGTGTTCTCGTATATTTAGAGGCGAGAGGCTAGGGACTCTGCTTCCTGGGTGGTTAATCATCAATGCAACACAATTTGCAAATTTGCAACCTGTATTGAAATTTGCTACCTGTATTTGTTTCTACAGACAACCAGCATTGTGTTGTGGTTTGAGCATTGGGCTACAACTCGAGAGATCAAAGTTCGAATCTCCGCTCTTGCAAGGAAATCTTGGTATTTTCCTAGTTTCCAACAGACCTCACAACCTCTGAGGGTGCCTGCCATAGATGGGCAAAAGGTCAGGAGAGAATGCTTCTGGACCATGGCCATGCAGCCTGGAAAACTCACAACAACCCTGTGATTCCAGCCATGAAAGCATTCGACAAAATATTAAAGATGTATTATTATATCGTATTGTCGAAGGCTTTAATGGCCGGAATCACTGGGTTGTTGTAGGGGTTTTTTTGTTTTTGTTTTTTGTTTTTTTGGTTTTTTGGCTATATGGCCATGTTCTAGAGGCATTCTCTCCTGTATCTTCTATATCTGTGGAATGACCAGGGTGGGACAAAGAACTCTTGTCTGTTGGAGCTAGGTGTGAATGTTTCAACTGACCACCTTGATTAGCATTTGATGGCCTGGCTGTGAAGGAGGCCTCAAGGGTCTCTGAGCAAGGGGCTTTGAATGAAATTAACAGCAAAAGAGAAACATACCCTTTCTCTGACTTAAAAAGAGCAATACGGAAGAAAATGTTTTTAAGAAGGTAATTTCTTACACAGGATGCTTGTGGTTAACTTCAAAGGTTGTTTTTTGAAGCGCAGAGGCCGCATGTACAAGAAGGTACTTTCCATCAAAAGGTCAAGAGAGGGGGCTGGAAAGAGAGTACTTTCCATGACAAAAAATGTTCTTGTTTACTTGAGGTTATATATTTGGTGGTCAAAAGCCAAGGGGGCACGGCAGTCACTTGAAGGGTAACATCTGTGTATGTTGCCTGGCTGTCCGTCTTCTTCATGAAGAAATTAAAAATAAAACCTTGTTTTTTTATCTTTCATTGGGGCTGTCTCCTTCCTTTTGTGCTCCCAGGACGTGGACCTAAGAAGACCCAATTTAGGGTCTCTAACAGCAGTGCCTGGGGCAATCTTTTGTTGAGAAGTGATTAAATGTCCTTGTTTGTTTCCTCTTTGTTGTTTTGCTGTTGTAATTTTGGAGTTTTTTAATACTGGTAGCCAGATTGTGTTTGAATGAATGAATTGTTTATTGTACTAGCCATAGGCCATGACATCAGTAATACACTAACTTTATAAACACTTTCCAATATAAACCTTAAAACGTAACAAGAATTAAAACTAAAACAAGTTCTTTAAAATTATGAAAGCAGAAACATGACAATAACAGTGTCTGCTTTGTGTCATTCCAAACCGTTTCCATTTCTGACTCCCAGTATGGATTTTGCTACTTTGGCTCTGATCTTTTGGGCTGCGATTGCGAATGTGGCAACCTTTAGTGTTATATTTTTAGAATGATCTGCTAGCAAGTCGCAGATCACCGCAGATTGTTGCCATGATGCCCTTTCTTCCAAGAGTGATCCTAGGAGATTTTTCCTAGGGTCATTGTACAAGGGGCAACGTAGCAAATAGTGTGTTAGGTCTTCTCTTTCCCCTGTGCCACAAATGCAAAGTCGTTGGGCATGGGGGATCCCTCTGTATCTTCCCTCTAGCCAGTTTGATGGCATTGTTTGGAATCGCAGGGCTGTCAATGCTTTCCTCAGGACCGCTGACGTTAGGTCTTGAAG